GGTTGATTTAATGATATATGAACTTAAAAAGGCTATGAAGAAGTATAACATTTTATACTGTTTAGGTCAATTCCTCAATTAGTACAGACATTCAAATTCACTACTTCTGTTTTGCTCCAGTTGAGAATCGAGATGCTTAAGCTTAACCATCAATAAATCTTCTTTCTCTCCAACATTTTCCAGGAAAGATAAATAGGAGAGGAAGAAAAATAGCACAAACTATTTCAGACAAATATATATATATAGTTCCAACACTCCTAGAATTCTGCCTTTTATCCATATTTACATCTCATTAGCAGCAACCAAACTTCTCTCTATTATTATTTCATATTTTAGTTCCAACTCATGATATCCTCAGGAAGTGTTCAAGCCATGAATATAAAAGAAAGGAAAAAGTTTGAGACAAAAGATAATCATAAAAAGAAAGAACAGACCAATAAAGACAAGATTTTCACTACCAATTCTGATAAATTTTTTCACCCAGCTACCATTACTTCTCCTATCTTAATATCGTACCAGAAACCTAACTAACCTTCATTCTACTTATTTCACTATTTAATTTCATCAACAAGAAAAGGAGACGAAAATAAAGACAGAAAAAGGAAACCCATTAAGGAAAATGAGATCATAATAATATACAGGTTAAAGGACAAGACTAAACTAAAGAATCCATCAATGCAACAGCTGAACTTGTTCCCTACAAATTAGATTACTTTTATTAAAAAAATTACCTAAAAGTTAAATTACCCTTTGAAATTTTCATGCTTGCTCCCAACAAACAAACAGATCCGCCAATCCTCCCCAATCCCTGTATAAAATATATGCTAAAGGGAAATAGAAGAATCATACCATGGAGCTGGATAATCAAATCCAGCAAATGGCGACTCCCCCATTTGTTTCTGCCAGACCCTAATCAGCCACATTGAATACAAAATCATGGCGATCCCAACCATTCCTATAAGCGAATTCACCAACTTCAATATCGACTGAATGCAGCTCCTCACTACTCTCACCATTTTGCCTGTCCTTTCTGCTTCTCGATTGAAAATCCCAAAATCAATATGGCGCAGTTAATCAAAGTCGCCGGAAGCCCTCGATCAGAAATCTAGGGCTCAGGCGCGAGAGAACCCTGAGGACGAGTTGTTTAATAGTTACAGTGGTGGCGTGACTGTCGTCTTTTATAGTTACCGGTTTTTTTTTTTTGGACGTATCCATTTTTTCAGGAAAATTATCACCGCACAGTGAAATTGGAGTTAGTTGCCTAACGGTGGGGAAGGAATTTTTATTTTTCGAATAGCAATGCTAGGGGCACTCGCCAATTGCACTCTCCACCAACACTTCCACTGTCATTGGGCCACGTTATTCAGTTGCAAGGTTTACCTTTTAAAACCTTAAAAGTAAGCTTAAGTGGCCCAATAACAAATCATGCGTTGGCTCGAGAGTGCAGAAGGCGAGTGCCGCTAGCACTGCTCTTTTTCAAAATTTTGTAATATAGTTTTGATTATACCAAACTTTTATAATATAGATTATATCAAACTTTAAATTTTGAGATTTTTAAAGGATTTTGATAAAAAAAAATTTGCATATTAACTATAAAATGAAATTAATATTGCCATAAAGGTCTTTAGCAACAAAAAGATAGCAATTACTTGCAAATTCATTCCTTCGAATTAACACAAGTTATGTCAAATGATGAAGGGCATAAGTTTTGCAACAATATTAAAGTTATAATACCATAAAAAAATATAAATTTATAATTTTATATATGACATTAAATAAAATATAACGTGATATTAAATAAATATATGCATATAATATTATAAATAATTTTTTAAATTAAAAAAAACTAATTATATAACAATAGTAAATTTATAATTAATGTCATATAATGTTATAATTATAACATTTTCGTAAGTTTTAAGGATATGACATAAATTTAGTGTAGTGTTTATCATATTGAAGTTAGGATCAATTTACATTACTGCAAGTTGCACTTTAACTTACATCAGCCAATAAATTTTCGTAAAATATGTATTTTTCCCAACTTACCATCAAATTTAATGTTTTATTTGTGACAATGGTATTGTATATGTGATACATAAGTTTGCATTACAAAAGTCAAAATCTCATTTTGGTCCTTTGACTTTAACAAAAAAATCTCTTTTTACCCTCTCTACTTAAAAAAACCCATTTTAGTCCCCAAATTTATTATCTAGTTTATATTTACTCCCTTCAGAGTCTTTTTACACATGTAATACGTTAGATTATGAAAATTCTAAAATAAAAGGACTAAGAAGGAGGCTTTTTTTTTTCTTTAAGTAGAGGGACAAGAATGGATTTTTAGTTTTTTTCTTAGTCCCTTTGCTTTAAAATTTTCATTATCTAATTAACATGCCACATGTAAAAAAATAACGAGAGACTAAAAAGGAATCAACTAATAAATTTTAAGAACTCAAAAACGATTTTCTTAAGTAGAGGAATTAAAAAGAAATTTTTTTATTAAAGTAAAGGGATCAAATGGGGTTTTAACCCATTATAAAAAAGAACAAATGTGATATGACCAATATCCATGAGTGAGTTTTTGAGTATACTTGAGAATTTCAATTATTACATTAATCTAGGATTACTTTTTTAATAGATTATTGATGATATTTTTTTATCTTGTGTTATATAATGGGAGACAACCCTCCTCTATTTCATAATTTATACTATGTTTAGAAGATAATCACTAAGCTATGTACTTAGATTGTTGGCATGATTGATCATTAATTAATTATTGCTCTTTGTATGTCAAGTGATTTGAATTTAACTATGTTTAAGGGATTACCACTAAGCTATGTACTTAGATTGTTGGCATGATTGATCATTAATTAATTATT